TGCTTTGTGCTTCCCCAGAAGATGGGAGCGACCTTTTCCTGATCGGGAGCTATTTCAAAGGAGGGAGCACGCCGTCTTTCCTACCGGCGTGGACGAACCGGGAAGAATCCATTCACGCTCCCCAAGCCAGGTAGGCTCGCAGGATGGGCAGATAAGCAAGAACTCTTTTCAATTTGCTGTGCATTGAGGCTACACTGTCCTCCGCTTTGGCAACCCAGCGGCTTCCACATTGTGTGTGGCTGTGTGTGTGCGGTGTGCTGTGTGTGCGCGCCGGCACATTTGTCTGGGTGTCCGCGCTTCTCTGGGAGTGAAATTGCTCCGGCTGGTGCGTCTGGGCGTGAGGGTGCCTGGCGGCTGCCGGTGCAAGCTGCCAAGGAAAGAAAGGGCTGCGAAGGGGAGATGCTGCCCTCTGCACCGCGCTGGACTGCGAGGACTCGGGGCGCCACGAGCTGAGCCCACCCCGAATGCAGTGCAGCCGGGGATCCAGCCGTCCCCACCCACCGGGCTCCTCTCCGCGGTCATCCCTCCTCCCGGTAATCCCCGGGGTCTTCCCCAAGGGCACACTCGCGAGCCCCCCTCTCTTCCGGCGGGCGCTGGGTGCTCATTCACCTCCGGCTGCGGAGGGAAGGGAGGTGTGGCAGGGTAGAGAGACCGACGAGGAGACGGGGGTGTGGGCTGTAGGGTCCACGTCTCCGGGCATGGTGCCGTGGTGTGCGCTGGGTCTGCACACACAGGCGTCTTCCCCTCGAGAGATTCGAAGGGAACTTTGCAGCTGCATCATCTGCCTCTGGAGCTTTGCTGGCTCTTGGGGGAAGATGGTCTGTGTTCTGAGATGTGAAGATACCCTTTCTGGCTCCTCCTCAATGAAGAAGAGGGCGGTCTTATAGCTGGACGGTCGGCTCTAGAAACCAAATCCTCCCAGGCGATGCTTTTGAACATACAATATCTGTGCATCCTTGATGCTTTAAGTCTCCCCTTCCTCCATAGATTCTGTTGCTGTTTGATTAATGGCTTGGGCAGGCAATTCGTATTTCCCTCCCCAGACAGAGTGGCAGTGGTTGGGTTGAGAGCAGGGGTGATCACGTTTCACAAAGAATTTTCTTTTTTTTAAGAAAGCGGTGTGCATGTTGTCTGCAGTCATTGGAAAGAAAGTCATGCTTTGCACTAGGTATAGCTTTAGCCCCCCTTAGCCTTACTGTCTTGAAGGCACTCTCTATGTTTCTTGCTAGTCAGCTACTAGTGGTTGTGAATATAACAATACAAACTTTGTCCTACTGGAGGTGTAAAGACTAAAAAGAGAAAGAAGGATATCAGTGGGAGGTGTAGTGGAAGAAGCTTTTTTAAAAATGACAGATGTGGTAAAGACAGTACAGACATCCTGATCATGGAGGAGCCGCTTGCTGAGTAGGTGGAGATTTCTGATCAGATCTGGTGAAAGGCATTGCTTGAGTGTCTCCAGATATGAGCCACTGAACATCCACAATCCGAAACTTTTGTGAAGATTTCCTGAGGGAAGGTGGAGCAACCAGGAGGAAATTCTGAAAGTACCCCCACCCCTTTCCTCCCATCCCACCACACACACACACACACACACACACACACACACACACACACACACACGCTTTCTCTTTCTCTCTCGAAGCTACTCCTGCAGCAACTCAGGAAAAGAAGGAGGAAGATGAATGTAGAGTTTTAGTTCATTTCAGATACGAAGACAAAGCAGGAAGAGGGATGCTTGGTTTCAGGTTCCTCTTTCAAATCCTGTGTTACTTGGATTTAGCTCTCTGGGTTTGGTAAACTTGCTCAATTGGGAGGTTAGGCTGGTGCCAAACAGGAGGAAGGAAGGGAGAGCTAGCTCCATCTTCGGGCCTCGTCAGTGAAAAGGTGGGGAGGACCCGCTTATTTCATCAAGAGGCAAGATGCATGTTCTTAGAGGGTTTTCATTTGACAAATTCTGCCTGCTTGAAGGATTCCATTTGGATATCGGGGCTCTTTAGCTAAGATTTCTCCCAGCTGCTATAAAAAGAGCCCTGATTTTCCCTCCTTAAACATGGCTGTTGTCTTTTATTAAAATTGGAGTGATTAATTCCTAGAAAAACAGCAACAACAACAAAAAAGGACTGGACAAAGGTAAACCATTATTTCTTGTTGAGCTGTTCAGGAGCTGCAAAGGATGTAAACTTGTCCATGGAAGTCAGACTTAATCTCTTCTGTCTTGAAAGCGTAACAAGACTGGAGGAGGAGAGTAGTGAACTAAAGGAATATGAATGCTGTGTTTTATATTTCTCTATCTACCTATTTACTTTATTATTACTATTTAATGGTTTCTACTGCATAGTTTTGGATTAAGATTAAGAACCAGATAATCCTTTTTTTGACCGTGAAGAGGAAGGAAAGAACCTAACAGTAACAGTGCCTTAACTGCAAATAAAATTACAAAAGGAAGGCAAGGTATAGTCAGTAACACCTACAGGACTATTTGCAGGAATTACGTTAATGGCTCTTTTAAGCTTACTATGTTTTGAATAAATAAAATGTATTCCAAGAGAGCTTCAGCGTCTCTTAAGCTATATTTAACATGTTTTTTACCAGACAAAAATAGACTTTTATTTATCTTGCAAAGTAAATGCGCGATTCCTTCCCTCTTTGTACTTATTCTATTTCTTTGACAAAATAAATGATGAGAAAAGCTCTGCAGAACCAATGAAGTTGCAATTCCCCTTTCAAAAGCAAGTCAAAGCATTCATGTAGCTCATGGATATGGTTGTCTCAATGTAAGTGCATTTCAGACTTTCACATTCTGATTTTTCATGTGCAGTTCAGTGAGACAAGCCCTTTCTCTATGATGCCTTTAGGTAGAGGAAGAATAGCATATAGATAAGAGACAGTTTTCCTTAACAGCCTGGACAAAAACAAGATTCAAACTGAAATATAAATTAAATCTGGAAAAAAAGAAACAGTTAAAAGATGATGTTAGAGGTCACATGTTGCATGTTTTATGTTTTTGCAGTAGGTGTGTATGTTGCTTCCAAATAAAAATTAAATTTTCACCTTATATTTGCTAAGAATTTAGGAAACAATGTGCTGTTCTCTCTCTCTTCTTCCTGGTCCTTTTATCCTTTTTTTTCTTTTGTGTGTGTGTGTTCAAGGATAACTATCTTTTGCTTAAACATCGTTCAATATCATTCATACCTCATAGTTAGACTCTCTTTCCATACCTCATAGACCCCTCATCATAACCTCTACCAAATAGTCTCCCATCTGACCAAATTCCACTGCTCCCTCTTGTGGTAAATATTCTCCCTGACTTTCTCCAGATTCCAGAATCCTATCCAACATCACTTATGGCTTCCTTAGCTGTCTATTACTTTAACTTTCATTCTCAGTAGTAACTGTGGCTAACCAAACCAGTGGGTTGCTGAACTAGCTGTTTCCACTTTTCTCTTTGGGCAAAGGAATTTCTGTCCCCTGGAGATATAGCTGAGATTTAGTGGAAATAAATGTCAGGTGTTTTCTGACCCTTTGGGATGGACTAGATTCTGAGAATGTGAGCTTTCAGCGTCTGCCTTTGAGATTTTGATTTGGACTCAAGGCTGGTCCAGTGGGACCTCATTAAGTACAGTGACATTATTTTCAATTTTCTTTCTTTCTCTTCCAAAAAGATATCCCCTTTCTTTCTTTCTTCCCCACTGCCACTCTCTCTCCCCACCCTCTCATGCGCGCGCGCGCACACACACACACACACACACACATACACACACACACACTACAAAATACATTTTACACAACATGTAGTTTGAAGATTTAAACAAATCGATGATTAGTTTCTCAATAATACTTTTTTTTCCTCAATAATACTTTTTTTTTTTTTGAGTCTCACTCTGTCGCCCAGACTGTAGTGCAGAGGCCACTCTCGGTCACCGCAGCCTTGACCTACTGGGCTCTGGCGATCCTTCCGCCTCAGCCTTCCGAGTAGCCAGAATTACAGGCATGCGCTACCACGCCTGGCTGATTTTTTATTTATTTATTGTAGAGATGAGGTCTCGCCAAGTTGCCCAGGCGGGTCTCGAACCCGCGGGCTCAGACAATCCACTCCCCTCAGCCTCCACTTGTACATCAAACAGCCCATTTTTTGGACTGGAGACTCCCAGTGTAAAACCTTATTGATATGTTTTCATTAAGAACACTTAAGAATGCAGATGAGGATATATAGTGTCTTTTTCCAGTGTTTTGACTTAGCTAGGAAGACAGTTGCTTGCAATTTTTGCTGTCTTTTGTGTTTTCTGTAGGTTTACTTTGCTGGTGACTCTGTATTGAACCCCTAAGTGTTCTTACATTTGTGATTCTCCTTTGATCTGCCCAGCCAAGAGTATAAACAGTAATAAGACAGAGAAGCTCATTTCCACCTTACCTGAAACTTTCTAGCCAATTTCAAAAGAAAGAAGAAGAACATGGGGAAGGAAAAGTCCTGATTGGCAGCAGAAGCAAAGAAAATGCTTTTGTAGTCAGGGAATGGACAAAACATCCCTGGGTTCAAAGCATTTATCCACTGGCCAACACAGGAACTAAAATTCTCACTATCAGGGCCACTCATTTGAACAAGGGGGTTATAGCTACTAGTCGCTAATAAAATGCAATGATATTACCTGGGAAAGAGCTACCACTAATTCTTATAAACCATTTGCATATGTTCATTTTTAACTTGGATTGATCTATCAGAACAGCTGGCAGATAGGAAGCCTGAAGCCCAGGAACACAAGACGTGAAAGAGGTTTTAAACTAGGTTGCTGCCCAGTTAGAGCACTCTGGGGACCATTCTGGTGGGGAAGAGTTAGGGACATGAATCTTGGGAATGGGGTTGTTGATGGGGAGGGTCAGAGAGGAGCCAGACAGAGGCAAAGATAAATGCTCAGAAATTTTGCTTCTGGGATGGCAAAGGTAACAAATATTTGATCCTGTCTTGAAAATTTAGTCTTTTAAAATCTTCTGAGAAATGAGCAAAATACTGTTTCTAGAGTGAAATGACATCCTTAAAAATCTTGAATAAATTCAATTGTATCATTTTAGAATATGTATTCATACCAGTAACTTAAAAAATACTAGTGTGGTACCAATTCAGGCAAATGGTTT